CCAGTGTAAACCAAGGACTCATCAACGCTATTGAAATAAAGCATACACCCAAGCTCCCTCGTCATAGGCCCTTATAAATATTCATTTCCACTGAGGAAAGTGCCCCGTTTGGAGACAAGTGTTTTAATATCCTGAAGCGTGCCAGAACACCATTCTCGGAACTCCAACGCCGCTAATCAACCTTATTGTTACGTCTTGACGATCCAGGATCGCGCCAGAACACCATTCCGTGGATTCAACCCCGCATATAAGTGGTGCGCCCTGGCAGTCGCGAATCGCTCCAAAAACCAATGTCTGGTACGTCAACTATGGGATCCCATAAAAGTTACAATATTTTACCACGTGGGCGCGCGAGGCTAAGGCGAGAGCCAGAGTTTGGAACGGAGCCGTCCTCTACCTGTGAAGCTCCTGCAACGTTTTAAGACGAATGTGCCCAGCGCCGTTGGCAAGGCCACATTTTGAAAACGACCCGCTCTCACTCCGATAAGCTCTTGCAACGTCTTAGGACGAATGTGCGATGCGCTAAGGCGAGAGCCACATTTTGAAAGCTAACCGCCCAACATCTGTGCAACACTGTTGCAAATGTTTAAGATTCAGTATCAAACATGGTGAGGGAGTCTTGTAGGAGAAACGTCCCGCCCGCCCTTTCGATTGGCCTCGGGGTGCGACACGGAGGAGCCATTCTGAAGGAAAAGGAATGGAGGATGAGGAGGAGGATAAGAAGAAGGAAGAAAGAGGATGAGGACCAGGATGAGGATGAGCAGGGGAAGGAGAAGGAAAAAGGAGGAGGAGAAGAAGAAGAAGGAGAAAGAGGAGGAGGAGGAGGAGAAGGCGGATGGGCAGGAGGAGGAGGAGGAGGAGTATAGGGAGAAGGAGGATGAAGAGGAGGAGGAGGAAGAGGAGGAGAAGGACGAGGAAGAGGAGAAAGAGGAGAAGGAGGACAAGCTGGAAGAGAAGGAGGAGGAGGAGGAGGAGGAGGAGGAGGAGGAGGAGGCGGAGGAGGAGGAGGAGGAGGAGGGGAAGGAGGAGGAGGAGGAGGTGGGGCGGAGGAGGATGGGGAGGAGCAGGAGGACGAGGAAGAGGAGGAGGAGAGGAGAGGAGGAGGAGGAGGAGGAGGAGAGGAGGAGGAGGAGGAGGAGGGGAAGGAGGAGGAGGAGGATAAATGGTGAGCATGTTTTAGGCGAAACGTCTGGCCCGCCCTTTTGACCGGCCTCCAGGCGCGACAGGGAGGAGTCATTTATAATGAAAAAGAATGGAGGAGGAGAAGGAGGAAGAAGAGGGGAATGAGGAGGAGGAGGAGGAGGAGGAGAGGAGGGGGAGGAGGAGGGGAGGAGGGAGGAGGAGATGAGGAGGAGGAGGAGGAGGAGGAGGAGGAGGAGAGGAGGAGGAGGAGGAGGAAGGAGGAGGAGGAGGAGGGGGAGTAGGATGATTATTTCGGAGGAGGAGGAGAATAAGGCTGGGGAGGAGGAGAAGGAGGAGGAGGAGGAGAAGGAAAAGAAGGAGGCGGAGGAGGAGGAGGAAGTGAGGAGGAGGAAGGAGGAGGAGGAGGAGGAGGATGGAGGAGGAGGAGGAGGAGGAGGAAGATGGAGGAGGAGGAGGACGGATGGAGGGGAGGGGGAGGAGGACAAGCTAGGTGCGCTCGCGTCATATCTGACATCCTACCCCTCCCTCCCATCCCTTACCATGGCGCAGATCCCTCTCTACTCGCACAGTCGGATGTCGAGCAGGGCAAGTGATCCCGAAAGGGTACGCGATGCATTGTAGAGCACGGCATGGCATGGCGTAGAAGAGCACCGCAAAGCGTAGTATCAACCTAGCATTGCATTGCATGCCGTGGCATGGCACGGGAAATGACGCCAGCGCTGCAGCGGGAGCACGAGTCTAAACGAGCGGAAGCGCGGAAATGAGGCCAGCGCTGCAGCGGGAGCACGATTCGGAACGAGCGGAAGCACGGAAATGAGGCCAGCGCTGAAGCGGGAGCACGATTCGGAACGAGCGGGGCCCGAGAATGAGACCGGCGCCTCAGCGAGAGCAGCATTTTGAAACAAATGCAGGCGAAACCCAACTCTGGGGAAACCAGGGGTGTCGGACACTTTCAAACCGTCATCAGGGGAAGAGGGAGAGTAGTATTCAGATTGAGTAATTGTGGAAGAGAACAGGCTGCCCTGAGGGATTCCGTCGTCGAGGCCCGGCCGCATGCAGGGTCTTTTCCTCCTCCTGCTGGCCTGTCGGCAGCCACAGGCTTGCTGGTCCGCCAGCCCATTCTTACAGCCAGGACGCTGAAGTAAGGACCATTTTGTGCTCAGGGAGGGTCTCTTGTTTTTGCGCCGTTCCTTACCTTCACATCAGGGAACCTACAGCCAGGACGCTGAAATCAGGCACAGCTTGGGTTCGAGAGCGGCTCGGTGTTCCTTAGGGCCATTGTGTGTGGATGTTCTTCTAGGCCTCCTCGTGCTACGCTGGCGCTTTGGGGGGGGGAACCAAAAAGGGGCTTCGTTCCTGATGTTCCGTTCCTCATTTCAGACACTCCCTGGGAGCTTCCG